CGGTGCCCCAAGCACCTCAGCAGCCTTCCCCCTCGCCGCCGCAGCAGCAGCCGCACAAGCTCAGCGGCCGTAGCCGCAGCATCCTCAGCGGTCGCAGCTGCAGTAGCAGAAGGTGACAGTGGGCTCTTAGGGTGCTGGTTATGGGGGTGCTGACTCTGCGCGTGCAGGTTCTCAGGGTGGTGCGTCAGGGGGTGCTAGTCCTGGGGGTGCTGTCTCGGAGAGTACAGGTGGTAGCCGAGGTGGGAATGGAGGTCCCGAAGTGGACAGGGAGCCATAGCAGCAGTCTGCTCTCCATCATCTTGGCCTTTTCTTCAGTTCTCCTGCGCCTCCTCTCATGTCTCCCACAATTCACGGCCCAATTTTCCCTCCCCCAGACGCGTCTACGACTCGTTCTCCCCCGTGTTCTCCTTTGCCCCCCTCCATGACGACCTGTGGGTTTCTTGTCTCCCTGGTGGTCTGTTATAATCACAATAGGCTCAGATGTGCCTAAAATGAGAGAGAGTGCACAATCAGATTTCCGTGAGACGGCTTCAAATATTGATAGCGATCTGATCTAAGCTCCAAACGGTGATCTGTAACGTGGATCTGGAGCGCGTTGCTGTCGACGACGCAATGGCGGTTTGACTAGCAGGAGGTATAGCAGCCACTATAGTCTTAGAAGTACAAACTTAGCAAGAAGGATCGAGATTGAGATGGTTCCCAGCCTGTACATACCCCAAGAGCCGAGGTCCAGGTTGGTGGTACACCACCACAGAGTCCCCAACCACGAAGGGACTCGAAACAAACCCGACAAGGGGCTACACCAAGTGAAATGTAACACTATACGAAGTAGCATTACTATTTTCTCTATTTTAATATTTATCCAAGTCCCTTGGGCTTGAAATCTTGAGCTCTTGGTCTTGATTTTGCAAGATAAATTCTTCTTGAGTTGATGAGGGCTTGCTGCACATGCTAAACGACGAGTTGACATGCGAGTTGTAAAATCTCGCTAATGTCTTGACCAACACAAACCACATTGTGATACACCATTCAAGCACACACACAATAACTAGATAGCAATGACGCAGACTCACAAGTCATTCCATGTCATGCATGCACAGACACGAACAAGGACGACAAGCCGAGTGCAAGCCTTAGGGTTGCACCAACAAGGTCCTCCTGTTTCTCCTAGTGATGGTGTTCTCCACATGACCCTTCATTCTCACTCTCGTGTTCTGCCGGTCTCTGTCCTCCCATTGCCTCCCCCATCATCCTTACCTCCGTTCGTCGCTCCTCCCTCTGACGCTATACGCATTGCTCATCCTACCAGCACGCGACTGCTTTCCTATCTTGTTACTGGCCCTACCGCTCCTACTGCTAGCATCTATGCACTTGTTGATGCTATCACTGAATTTGCTGCTAACCAATGCCTTGACTACGCTGTCGCTCTGATCTCTGACCCTGCCCGTCCTCCGTCCGTCGGGGGTCCACCTGCCCTTGGCAGTGACGTACTAGAGGACAGGAAGTACGAGCTGGCATACCTTGCTGCCGTTGATGTTTTCTTACATACTCCAAAGGCCAGACTAGTAGTGCTGCCCTGGATAACTGTTTCTTGTTAGGCTCTGCCCCTACCCATGCTAGGGGGTGTGTTATTGTTCATATATTTTCGTGTTGGGAATATATGAACTATAGCCTTGCTAGGGTTCAGTTTATATAGGGTATAAACACTTAGATATAGGTTTCTGTTTTGCCTTGCCTAGCCAACTCATTCTCTTCTCACGATAATTATGTGCTCGTGATTGGTTTGAGCACATCGCGATGGATATCCACTGTCGTTGAATTTCTTTCTGTTTACGAGGTGGCTAGGGCAAAGTTGCCGAGAGTTGAGAGACGGGACTTGTTCGTGCAAATATTAGCACCATTGAATTCCTCATGTTGCATAGAAGCTTTATGTTCACTAAAAAGGTTTTCCCTTAATTTAACATCAGGGTGCAAAATGAAAAATACAACATAAAGCACCAAGTCACCTTTTTCACATATTAAGCATCACACTTGCGGTCTTATATTTGCGGGATTATGGCAATCATGGAGCATGGCAGCAAACGAGGACGCTCACTGGAAATTCTATCAAGTAATCCCATATATTACCAGAAGTATCACATGTAATCTGCAACTACACTGCATGCTGACTTACGTCGACCAGCAGGTGGCAGAGGGTTTTGGTCACACCAACCAACATCGCAATGCCGTTCCCATCCATGTGGCAAACTATTTTATGTGTATGAGTAGCGCCATGTTGTAGGGATGAGTTCGTGTGTAATGTGTGAGGTGCGTACATGCGCCATTCCAATATTGGTGTGGTTGAGTTTGGCGCGGTTTATGCCACTCCTTCGAGAGCCCGTTGACAATGTATCCCATCATCGCCTTTTCATTCTCCTTAGCTCCCATTGCGGCCAAGTCGTCGTTGTAGCTCTTGGCTCGATTGATGTACTCGATGACGGCTTCCTTCGGCTCCATGCTCAGCAGCAGCAGCTTCCTCCTCACTGCAGCAATGCTCATCTCCATTTGGCCGAGGTAGGCTGACTCCATGTATGCCCACGCCATTTGAGCCGGATTTTTCTCGCCTGAAAACTTATCCATGCCCACAGCAATTCCCTCAAAAGAAGAATGGATCAACTGAAAAAATGCTTGCTCACTCTTTTTCTGATATGCCGAATCCTCCTCTTGGTTGCTTGTAGTTGCTGCTCCTTTGGCCTTCTCACCCCGACGGTAGAATTGCCATAATCCTACCTCCTTCGCCCTCCTTATGAACTTTAAGCGCCACGTACTGTAATTGCTGCCATAAAAATTTGGGCTTCACTGAGCCCTATCGTCGGTTTTGCTACCAACGATCCATGCGCTAGGAATTCTAAAAGAGCCTTAACCTGGGGGTCTCCAATGCTCACAGTGGAGCCCGAACTAGCCTCTCCAGTATCGCCCGTCATTCTGGAGGCTTCATCCTACTCTTTAGAATGCTACACTGCCCTTGCACCCGGCTCCACTTAGCGCACTAAATAGAGTCGCGGAGAAAATTCGCCAGCACTCCGTTGCTAGTTCTGATACCAGTTCTAGGCGACTATCACCTCCGGCTCAGCGAAAAGTATTTGGAAATACTCTTGCAAATAGCCTCAAGGGCTATTTGCAAATAATCAGCGGGGAGAGCAGCGGGGAGAGCAAGGAGAGCAGCGAGGAGAGAAGAAGGGAGAGCAGAGGGGGGAGCAGAGGAGAGAGCAGAGGGGAGAGCGGAGGGGGGAGTAGAGGGGAGAGCAGAGGGGAGAGCAGAGGGGAGAGTAGAGGGGAGAGCAGCGGGGAGAGCAGTGCGGAGAGCAGCGCGGAGAGCACAAGGGAAAGCAAAGAGGTGAGCAGAGGGGAAAGCAGAGGGGAGAGCAGAGGGGAGAACAGAGGGGGAAGCAGAGGGGAGAGCAGAGGGGAGAGCAGAAAGGAGAGCAGAGGGGGGAGCAGAGAGGGGAGCAGAGGGAAGAGCAGCAGGGAGAGCAGCGGGGAGAGCAGAGGTTAGAGCAGAGGGGGGAGCAGAGGGGGGAACAGAGGGGGGAGCAGATGGGAGAGCAGAGGGGAGAGCAGAGGGGTGAGCAGAGGGGAGATCAGAGGGGGGATCAGAGGGGAGAGCAGCGGGGAGAGCAGTGAGGAGAGCAGCACGGAAAGCAGAGGGGAGAGCAAAGGGGTGATCGGAGGGGAGAGCAGAGGGGAGAGCAGAGGGGAGAGCAGAGGGGGGAGCAGAGGGGAGAGCAGAGGGGAGAGCAGCGGGGAGAGCAGAGGGGAGAGCAGAGGGGGGAGCAGAGGGGAGATCAGAGGCAGGAGAAGAGGGGAGAGCAGAGGGGAGAGCAGATGGAAGAGCAGAGGGGAGAGCAGAGGGGAGAGCAGTGGGGACAGCAGTCGGGGGAGCAGAGGGGAGAGCAGCGGGGAGAGCAGAGGGGGGAGCAAAGGGGAGAGCAGCAGGGAGAGCAGCGGTGAGAGCAGAGGGGGGAGCAGGGAGAAGCTTGACTGCACTGTGGGGGGCTGCTGGGGATGCCCAGCAGAAGATGGACGGAGTGAGGTGGGCATGAGTCCGGTGGGCATAAGCCAGGTGGGCATGAGCCAGGTGGGCATGAGCCAGGTGGGAAAGCTTCCGAGGCACATGAGTGAGGCAAATTCAGCATGCTGTTTTCCGCAGCCGCTGTTGCCGGCTTGCTCCCCTGTGGCTGGCGTGCTGCTGCTGCGTGCTCTACTGTGAAGCGAGGGTGGGACAAAGGTGATGGAGACATGTGTGCCGCTGCAATATTTAACAGCCTTTTCTTCAGCTCTCCTGCGCCTCCTCTCATGTCTCCCGCAATTCACGGCCCAATTTTCCCTTCCCCGGACGCGTCTACGACTCATTCTCCCCCGTGTTCTCCTTCACCCCCCTCCCTCCCCCCCCCCCTCCGTGACGACCTGTGGGTTTCTTGTCCCCCTGGTGGTCTGTTATAATCTCAGATGTGCCTAAAATAAGAGATAGAGTGCACAATCAGATTTCCGTCATACGGTTTCAAATATTGATAGCGATCTGATCTGAGCTTCAAATGGTGATCTGTAACTTGGATCTGGAGTGCGTTGCGTGCTAGAAGAGATCCAGACTAGACTCGTAAACAATTCCTGAAATGGTCAAATCGGAAAGTGGAAATTATGACGTGAATTGCAGCATTGTAGACGTTATCCATTAGCGTAGTTAACGAATCCTCATTGACGGAGTTGAATCGCGAACCTGATGGGACGCGTTTCTAAACCCACATCCAATGAAAGCTGGAAGCTAGCCGAAGGTGAAAGCTCGGTACAGAACTCTGCTTCGTATGATCTCGGAGGTTAGGAGGAGGTCTAGACTCTAGCCTGGTGAAACTTGGTTGAGTGCCATTCACGCACGCATCGCTTGGGGGGCGGAAATCCGAGCGTAGCAGGACGCAGTTGCGCGCAGCTGCATTCCATCAGCGCGGAAATCCCAAGACCAGCATTTTCAGCGTGAGATGCGCCAGACAGCTGAGCCCCAGCTGAGGAAAGCCCTTCCGCGTCTCATGAGGAGCATTTTTTGCCAGCGCGACAACAGGCGATGGAGTCACGGCGCTAGTGGGCTAGCAGGTAGTCCGAACACAGCTCAGAGGCATTCGCGTTCCACCGAATGCTTCCTACCAAGTATCAGCCATGCTTGAAATGCACCTTTGGAAACAGAGCACCAGTCCACTAGCAGCGGACCTTCCGTCTTCCAATCGAATGCTTCTTACCCGAAAAGCTTCTTGCCAAGTAAGCTGCTGCGAGCAAGAGACCCGAAAGCCCGCATGAGCGCGCAAGTGCAGCAGCGTCAATGATGGACGCAGCAATATTGGTGCTGCCACCGCCGCGAGTAGCGCAGAAAGCTTCCATCGCGAAGATGGAGTCGACGGCCAATGGCGTCCACCGCGCGAATGGCGCTGATGAAGTGTCGGTGGCGTCTAGGAACGTTCGGACAGCGCGGAGGAACGCGCAAGTGCGGCTCATCCAATGAGATGCACGAAGCACCGCCGCGAATACCGCACGCCGAACGGCTGGGAGCGCGTTAAAGCGCGAATGCCGGTGAAGGAAATGCGAGAGCCGGACTCGCAGCGCGCAGAGTCCGATGCTGGCTCCATGGCGCTATAAGAGAGGCCACATCGAGCCACCAGTCATTCGTTCAATCCGCAGCCCCAATCCTTCTCCTCACCCTCAGCCTAGCATTCGCCCGTCTCCCGTCATACCTCGTACCAACCGCTTACTAGACTATCATACCGTCCGCTGCAGGCCTCGCGCCGGTTACCCGCTCGCTCCCGCGGAAGTCCGAGAAGCGTCCGTCCACCGCGCGGCATTCCCAAGGTCGCTGGTGCGCCGTCGAGTGTGCAGCCCGTGCGCTGCAAGCTGCGCCATCCCGCCATCATGGCCCGATCTGCTGCGTCTCTGTCGCCGCCTCGCGCTCTCTGCGTCGCCTTCAAGCGCCTCGCCGCCATCCTCACCGGTGAGCGCACTGCCCTCACTGCCCTCACTGCCCTCACTGCCCGCACTGCCCTCACTGCCCGCACTGCCCGCACTGACCTCACTGCCCTCACTGCCCGCACTGCCCTCACTGTCCTCACTGCCCGCACTGCCCTCACTGCCCTCACTGCCCTCACTGCCCGCACTGCCCTCACTGACCGCACTGCTCGCACTGCCCTCACTGCCCGCACTACCCTCACTGCCCTCACTGCCCGCACTGCCCGCACTGCCCGCACTGCCCTCACTGCCGTCACTGCCCGCACTGCCCTCACTGCTCTCACTGCCCTCACTGCCCGCACTGCCCTCGCTGCCCTCACTGCCCGCACTGCCCTCACTGTCCTCACTGCCCTCAATGCCCTCACTGCCCGCACTGCCCTCACTGCCCGCTCTGCCCTCACTGCCCTCACTGCCCGCACTGCCCTCACTGCCCTCAATGCTCTCACTGCCCTCACTGCCCGCAGTGCCCTCAATGCTCTCACTGCCCTCACTGCCCGCACTGCCCGCACTGCCCTCACTGCCCTCACTGCCCTCACTGCCCGCACTGCCCTCACTGTCCTCACTGCCCTCACTGCCCTCACTGCCCTCACTGCCCGCACTGCCCGCACTGCCCTCACTGCCCTCACTGCCCTCACTGCCCGCACTGCCCTCACTGCCCTCACTGCCCGCACTGCCCTCACTGCCCTCACTGCCCGCACTGCCCTCACTGTCCTCACTGCCCGCACTGCCCTCACTGCCCTCACTGCCCTCACTGCCCGCACTGCCCTCACTGACCGCACTGCTCGCACTGCCCTCACTGCCCGCACTACCCTCAGTGCCCTCACTGCCCGCACTGCCCGCACTGCCCGCAGTGCCCTCACTGCCCTCACTGCTCTCACTGCCCGCACTGCCCGCACTGCCCTCACTGCGCTCACTGCCCTCACTGCCCGCACTGCCCTCGCTGCCCTCACTGCCCGCACTGCCCACACTGTCCTCACTGCCCTCACTGCCCTCACTGCCCTCACTGCCCTCACTGCCTGCTCTGCCCTCACTGCCGTCACTGCCCGCACTGCCCTCACTGCCCTCAATGCCCTCACTGCCCTCACTGCCCGCACTGCCCTCACTGCCCTCACTGCCCTCACTGCCCGCACTGCCCTCACTGTCCTCACTGCCCTCACTGCCCGCATTTCCCGCACTGCTCTCACTGCCCTCACTGCCGTCACTGCCCGCACTGCCCTCACTGCCCTCGCGCCATGGACTTGGGCTGTTCGCCATAGGATGCATGACTCGCACGGCCATGCATGATGGCAGCACGCAAACCCCTTTCGTGCACCTCACCCAAACTTACCCTTCCCTTGCGCCTCCCTCTGCTTTCCTGTCTTCTGGCTTCCCCCGCAGTGGTGCTCTCTCTCTCCTTGTGCGTCTCCCTCTGCTCCGCCGCGTCCGCCGGGCGTCGTTTGCTGCAGGAGGGGCTTGGCGGCACGACGACTGTAACGACGACCACCACCACGAGCACCAGCGTCAGCAACAGCACCACGTATGGTGCTGATGTCTCCGTTATAAGCACCGGCTCCACCTCCGCCACTGCCAGCGGGGGCAGCACCAGCAACGGGGGAGGCACCAGCAGCGGGGGGGGCACCAGCAGCGGGGGGAGCACCAGCAGCGTGGGCAGCACCAGCAGTGGGGGGAGCAGTGGGGAAGGCACCTCGGATGGGGGGAGCACCGACAGCAAGGGAGACACAAGCAGCGGAGGGAGCAGCGGCACTGTCAACCCCAATGCGCCCTTAAGATGTAAGCACTTGCACATGTACTTGCACATGCACATGCACTTGCGCTTTCACTTGGACTTCCTCGTTTATGGCTGACCTCCCGAGTACCGACAGACTTGTCTCCCACTACCGCGTGCTGCTGTCTCAAAGCCCAGGTCACGCTCAGCTGCCTGCTCTCGTGGGTGCTGCTGCCTTCACACGCGCCAAACCATCTCCGTGCTTTCTGACCTGCCCCTTGCAGACCGCGCTTCCTCCATGCCCCACACGAAAGCCAGTAACTCGACCGGCAAATTCTATGTCGATGTGAACATGTGAGTGCGCACACCGATCATTCCAGTTGCCCAGATGTCCTACATACATGTGTGGGGGCTTGTATCATATCCTATACGTTTTGGGTCTTCCAATGCTATACGTGTCCAACTGCACTGTGGGATGAACGTGTGGAGTCTAATCCATCTGCGTATGCCCGTCTGTTCTCGACCTGTGTGGATCCCCATGTGTGGCCGTCCCGCCCATCATCTCGCAGCACGGAGTCCAAGCAGACCACCAACTTCATCTTCTTTGTCTACAACGTGCCGCCCACTCCCAAGCCAACCTTCTCCAATCCCACCTACTACACCACCGATGGCAAGCTCTTGATTGAGTTCACCTGCGCGTTCAAAGCAATCGGCACACCTGGTTCCTACTACTGCGGGTTAGCCGGGGCGGCTGCTAAGGTGGCTGAGCCTTACAAGCCGATTGGCAAGGGCAAGAAGCTGGTAGACGCTGGCCTCTTCACGAATCCCGGAGGGTTCTACGCTTCGATCAAAGTGAATGGTGTGGAGCTGCGCGGGGGAATCACGGCGTCTGTTGCTAACCTGTGATTGGTTGGGGGATGCTGGACACCCCGTGCCTTGCCTTAGAGGCACTAGCTAGGCTTGGGGTCTGTTTAGCTGTTACCCTTTATCTAGTCCAGTGTGCTTAGCCGGTGTATTGGTATGGTTCTTACTGCTTCTGTGTGTTTCTTTGCTTTTTGTGCTCGACTTATATGGAAGCTTCAGTGTGCTTGCTTGGTATTGCTGTACTAAAAACCCTGTATATAACACCCTTTGGTGGATATAAAAGAAATGAGTGGTTGTTAAAGCACAGGCTAAAATAGCAGGGGGAGGTTTAAGAGCGGCGCTCTTGAATGTGGGCACACTAGAAAAAAATGGGGTGCTAGTGCGACACTGCCATAAGAATTTGGGGCAGCCGGGCAGATTCGCATATTCCTGCCTGCATCATTCGCATATGTTGACATGGCAGCACGGGCAGCATTCCCGGCACTGATGTCAGCAGAGATTTTTGCAGCATTATCAACAGTGCTGGCAGCTGGCATAGCCTCAGGCTTCAGCTGCCATTTCCAAGCCAGCCATGTGTGTCTCCGTGCCTGTCCTCAGGCCACCTCCCACGTGCACAGTCTGGCCACTCCAGATACTTCCCTCCCCGTGCGTGCCCCCCTATCCCCTTCTTTCCCCCCTCCCACTCTGATCCTGCCCCCCTGCAGTCTTCGGCCGCTAGCCCTACCCTAGAATGGCCTTCTCTGCTTCTGAAATGCTGTCGGCAAGCACTGCAGCTGCTGCCACAGCAGGGGCAGGAGGAACGCCAGGTGACGTGGTTGCAGCAGGGGAGAGGAGTCCAGAGGGGAGAGTGACACAGGCGCTGGGCGGGTGGAGAAGCGGGGTGTGGAGAAAGGGAGTGGTGTGCAGGTTCAGGGGTGTATGGAGGGTTGGCCGCGGGAGGGGAGGCGGCAGGGGAGAGAGATGTGATGACAGGGGGAGGAGGGACAGCAAGCAGCAGTGGTACTGCAGGCAGAAGGGAATGTGATGGAAGGCCGGTGGGGGGACGGCACTCTGGTGCCTGTTCTTGTGGCACTGTTGCCGGTGATATGTGTGCCGGCTGTCCCTCCCCTCCTGCTCCCTCGTTTTCTGAGCTGGTTCTCTCAGCAAACTCCTGCTCTTCCTCCCCGTGCCTCCCCTCGCTCTGCTCCTTACACTCGAGGCCCTCACTCACACCTTCCCCTCACTCCACTGACCTAGGCGGAAGGAGCGGAACAGGGGGGGGAGAAAAGGCGGGGAAGTAAAAAACCGGGTAATGGCGGGTTACGAGAATCTGCATGGGGCCGCGGTCTCCGCACCTGAGCAATGGGGTGAACAGAAGGGTTGAAGGGGAAGTGGTTGAGAGATGGGGAATAGGGATGGCAAAACTGGCAAGGGCATGGGAGCGAAGGTTGAGGGCATAAGTGAAAAGGGTAGAGGCGGGAAAAGGCTTGACAGGGAAGAGAGAAAGGGGAGGGAGGATGGAGGAAAGAATGGGAGAGGGGAGCAAGGTAGAGAAAGGAAGTCTTTCCATCGACGACAAGGGGACATGGCACAGGAGAGAATGGGGGAACAGCAGAGAGCAGGGGGACAGCAAGGGGACAGCGAGAGCAGGGGGACATCAAAGGGACAGCGAGAGCAGGGGGACAGCAGGGGGGCAGCGAGAGCAGGGGGACAGCAGGGGGGCAGCGAGATCAGGGGGACAGGAGGGGGGCAGCAGAAAGCAAGAAAGCAGGAAGAATGGAGGGGCAGGAGAGAGTCGAGGGACAAGTGAGTCAGGATCCGGTGAGAGTTCGGATAAAAGGGGCATGAGGGGTGGGGCTTGGGATGGCAAAAGAATGGCGAGGGAAATGTTTACGACTGGAGAGGGGGAGGGGGAATTGAGAGGGGGTGAGACTTTGAATGTGTATGGAATCAAGAGATTGGGGACGGGACATGATGCCTCAGATAACAAGCCGTACAAGCTTGATTCCAAAGATTAAACCCCTCTAACTGCCATGCACTTCCCCTCTCCCTGCCCTTTGTTCACCCTCTCCCTGGCCTTTGTTCCCCCTCTCCCTGCCCTTTGTTCCCCCACTCCCTGCCCTTTGTTCCCCCTCTCCCTGCCCTTTGTTCCTACTCCCCTTGCCCTTTGTACTTCCTTCCCTTGCCCTTTGTTCCCCCTCGCCCTGCCCTTTGTTTCCCCCTCTCCCTGCCCTTTGTTCCCCCTCTCCCCCCCCCTTCTTCCTCTCCCCCCGCCCTCCTTTGTTCTCTCCTTGCGCTCTCATCCGCCTCTCGTGGCCCTCCCTACCACCAATGCTCGTCCCCCCTCTCCCAGCCCTTTCATCCGCCTTCTGTCATCCGGTCCCACACCTCTCCTCACCCTCGGGTGCTCCTACCCTCTTTCTCTCCCCCTCTTCCATTCTCCCTCTCCTTGCCATCCCTTTCCCCCTCTCACCGCCATCCGTCCCCCCTCTCCTCGCCATCCTTCTCCCCCATTTCTCGCCCCGCGTTCCCCCTCTCCTCGCCATCCATCCCCCCTCTCTTCGCCATCCGTCCCCCCTCTCCTCGTCATCCGTCCCCCCTCTCCTCGCCTCCGTCCCCCCTCTCGTCGCCATCTGTCCCCCGTCTCCTTGCCATCCATTCCCTCTCTTCTTGCTTTCCGTTCCCCCTCACCTCGCCATTTGTTCCCCCTTTTCCCTGTGCTTTCCGTTTCCCCTCTACTCGCCATCTGTCCCCCTTCTCCTCTCTCTCCTCCCTCTCTCCTCGCCATCCGTTCCCCCTCTATGTGATTTCCCTTCCCCCTCTCGCCATCCATCCCCCTCTCCTCGGCATATGTCTTCCTCTCCTTGCCATCCGTTCCCCCTCTTGCCATCCGTCCCCCCTCTTCTTGCCACGTGTTCCCCCTCTCCTCGCTACGCGTTCCCCCGATCTCCTCGCTATCCGTTGCCGAATCCCCTCGCGGGAGTATTTCGTGGCCTGGCCCGTTTTATCTCAGGCTATATACCTCCTCTAGAGTCGCGGGGCTTAATGGCGGGTCTTACAGCAGTTTCGGTACGCAAACTTTGGCGGGCACTATGTCTTGTACGACGAACTTAGCTCGTCCCACTGTGTACGCCAGTATTAGGCTCGAGGTATCAATTTTTAAGTGATAAACAACCTTCCCCCCGGTAGTGGTGGGAGTTGGTCGTCGTTGGGCGGACGCCTTTTTTATTTTTGGCTTGTGCCGTGGCAGCTATGGCTTCCTAAGCTTGAGATAATCTCCTCCTTTGAATTGTGAAGCAGCTTGTGACCATGTGCCCATGTGTTATGTAAAATGCAATTTGAATTTGAGTGTTCTTAGGCATATACGAAAAGGGTGACCTTCTATTGGAGCTGTGGGTGGGAGGCAGGGCATGCGAACGTGTCTAATTCAGCATCAGCACGGCTGTTTGTGGCCAATCCCTGTTGGCCGCAGCTGCCAACAGCATTAGAAATGCTGCCAGCGGCTGCCAGCGCTGGATGAGCACAGCTAGGTCCACAGGATGTTGCCGGCGCACCAGACGAGAGGGAATCTGTTCTGTCAAGTTTCCCTCTCGAACCTTGTCGACTAGACCATTGCATGCCAGCATGCGATGGTCTCTTCGGGTTGTGAAGGACCATGCGCGCTCTGGGCTGGGGTTCCAAGCACGTTTCTTCTTCATCCCTTTCTTGCCACAGCGTCATTCTTCATTTTCTCTCTTGTTTCTCAACTCTAAAGCCCACACGATGCCTGGGCTCTCTAACAAAGCCTCGGGCTAGTCTGTCAACACACAAACACCCTTTCAGGTGCTGCCATGGCAGCACATATAGTTAGCGGCCTCTCTGTATTGCGGACCCATCGTCCTCCCCACGATAATCAATTCCTACTCCGTCCGTTCCCCTCGATTCCTCCAGCACCACCTGCACCACCTGCTCCTCCCGCTCCTCCTGCACCTCCTGCACTTGCACCGACGGCTCCTCCCAAGCCTCCTCCTTCTTCCTCCCCACTTCCCAATTGTCCGCGTGAGTGGAACAATGCGTGGCAGGACGATGAGGAGGAGGATCTGTACTGGGAGGAGGCTGCCGACGGAGAGCCTGAGCCTCCGCCGACACTTCCTTGCATCGATGTCCAGTCCTTCCCTCAGCCTAGGAATCTTCCTAACATGCCTCGCGTTAACCGTGATGCTGCACCTCTCTCCCCTTGAAACTGCAAGGCCAGGAGCTAGAGAGTCGCGTCCATGGCTGATAAGAAACTCTACTGGTCGAGCAAGCTTGACGCCGATCTTGAGCTCACCAACAGCAAGCTCGCGAGGATGGCGGAGGTCCAGCCTTGTCAGATCCGGGAGTGGGAGAAGTATAAGGCCAGAATGGCAGTGGCGGCAGAATGCAGGCGCCGTCTCATCGGCTCTAGACACAAGGCCAAGTTTCTTGACATGGAGAAAGAGCTCTACAAGCGCTTCCTTACCCATCGTGCGTGCGGCTCGGTGGTCTCCATCAACTGCCTGCAGAAATGGAGTCGGAAGTACATTCGGAAGCGCCACCCCGGAGTCGACTATCGGGCGCCGTCGTGCTGGACCTTCCGCTTCAGCACGTTCTGGGGTTTGACGAGGCACGTCAAAACCAAGATGGGAGAATGCCTCACCAGCGGTACGTTCCCCCCTACTTCAATCGATTTGTCTGCTGTCTTTCAGTATGTATCCACGCCTATTGATTCATCTCATGCGTACTAACTGCGGTTTCTTACTGCATTTGCAGATTGCGACGCGGAAGTAGAGAAGTTTTGGGAGGGCGTCCATATCCGTTACAATCGAATCTTAAAAACTTGAATATGCAATAGTGGATCGTGTATTAACCAAAGAAACAAGGGGGGGGGGGGGGGGGGGGGGAAGGGGGGGGAGAGGTTTTGTAAAATTCAGTATCAGAAAAGCGTGTTCTCTAAATAATGCACCCTATCACAAGCTCTACCCCGCATAAACCACACGTCGAGTGACTATTTCGGCGGGTCTTATGTAGGGGGGATTACAGTAATATAAAACCAAGATTGCCCACTTTCATCCAACACCACCATCATTTAGTGCACAGCCATTATGGAGTGCAGGCGGTTGGGTAGCAGGAGAGAGAGGGGAAGATGGGAGAGGGGGGGAATGAGGGGGGAGGCAAGGAGCTGCTGCATGGCGGAACATGGCACATGTGTTACTATGGTACCGGGGGATAGTGCATGTCTGTAGCATACAGCTTGCTGCATGTGCAACAACCTA